AAATGAATTTAATTTTTTTATTTTAAAATAAAAAAATTTTAAAGAAATAGATTTACATTATAATAAAATTATAGTAACTTAAAAATATTTTTACTTGATAAATAGCAGTATAGTAGGTTTTTATTGTAAATGACAAATTTTTGTAATATAATAAAAAATTTATTAGTTAATTGAAATTAATAAAAGTTCTAATTTTAAATTGCTATAAATAAAAACTAATATGTATAAAAATAAATATATTTAATATATTAAAATCTTATGTGTTATATTTAGTTTATTTTGTTTAAATAATTTAAATATCCTTCTAGATTAGTCCAAATAATAAAAATTATATAGTAACATATTTCTATACCTTTATTAGTGAGATTGTGTAACATAATTTTAAATTTGTGCTAATATAAGTTTTCTAAACACAAACCAGATTTTATAATTAAAAAAATTCAAAACAAACATCTTTTGTTAAGAGTTACTTTACAGCAAAGACTATTAATATTACATATACAATAAAACTAGTAGAAATTATATTTATTACAATTGAATTTAGTATAAATAATTTAATTTATGATTGATTACAGGCAAGAAAAGATCAGGCACTGTCTGCTATTAATTGCTTATTTCTCAAAAATTAGTATAAGAAACCATCTTTAATACTCTAATAAAAGTTTTTATTAGACAATTTTATTATATAAACTACTCTTCTTGGACCTATTAAATATAGTAATTAGGTTTAAACATAGTGCAGTTGTTAGTAGTTAGATTAAAAATATATAATACACTTTTACAATATAGTTTGCCATTTTGATTAATGTTAAATAATCTGCAATAATTGGCCTAAATTATCTTATAAGTTTTACTCTATTCTAATTCTAACTCAGATGTTATCTGACATCTAAGAACAATATATATAATATATAACAATAGCCTATCAGTATAAGTGATAAGGTACATACTAGTATCTAATGAAATTAATACTAGCAAAAGTCTTAATTATTAAATCTTAATAACTTTAAAACTAAAACTATAATATTATTATAGACAAACTAAAATTTTATTAAAGAAATTTTTCTAATATACTACAAATCAATAAAAAAAAAAAAAAACAAAGACAAAATAAAATGAAAAATACAAGAAATAAATATTTGAATCTATTCTAGAACATTAATGTCTAATAAAAAAAATATCAAAACTGATTTTTAGTATTTGTTTTAATATAAAACAGATTATTAAGTTATAATTATTATATAGGTTGTATAAAATAACTAAATTTGTATAAATTAATCAGTTTTATATGACTTTTGGTTATATAGAATAAGTTGATTCTTGCAAATTTAGTTATTTTATACAATCTCTTATAATAACTATATTATTGCATAGATCTGATATAACAACCTATGCGACACCTTTTACATTAATAAAAAAAAACTATTTTAATATTGTGTAAAGACTTTGTCCAATATGAATTTCTTTAAAAAACAAAGAACTAAATTTATTCATCCTAATTACATATAACCTTATCTAAATTTTTGAAAAAAATGAAACTTTAATAATATTAAAACCTTATTTAATAAAAATTGAAAATAAAATAACATACAATTTTGTCTAGTAGAAATATATAGAATGAAAACTTAATAATATACAGTCTGCCTAATAAAAATTTAAACAAACAAAAATCTAATAATGTTTGATTCTATATACTAAAATTAAAGAATGAAAAGATTTAATATATATTATTCAATTTAATAAGAATTTAAAAAAAGTAAAACTTTATAATATGAAACTCTGTTTAACAAGAATGTGATTTTGTCTAGTAAGTATTTTTAAAAAAAACTAATAAGAACTTTAAAAAAAATAAAATCTAAGAATGCGATTCTGTTTAATAAGAATTTAAAAAATCTTTAAAGAAATAAAAACCTAATAATGCCTAACTTTATTTAATAAAATTTTAATGAAAGACTAATTATATTGATTAGTCTAAGACAATTTTAAAGAAAATAAAAACAAAATCAAACTAGTGTTGTTAGATGAAACTATTTTTGGTAAATGACAAAAGTCAAAACTAAACCTGACAAAAGTCAAAACTGGTGAAACTCCAACAAAATGTCAAAACTTTAGTAAAACATCAAACTTTGGCAAAACTTTCAGTAAAGCTAAAACCCTTCAAAAAAGTTAAACACAGTATAGACTAAATTTTTTAAGGTTTTGGAAAGACTAAACTATGTTAGTAAATCAAAATATTTTGTATGTAGCTATTATGCACAGTTGGCTTATATAAAAATATACAAAAGCAATAAACAAAATAATGGTCTTTATTTGTATTTAAATATTATTAAAAGAAAACTAGACTTCAGGCTTTTGAACTTATAATAAATCAATTCAGCACCTAAAAATTCAAAGTTTAAAATCCTGTTTTTTTTTAGTAATATTTATTTATATATTAATATTACTTATATAAAATAAACTTATCAAAATATTTAAATAAATTTACTATTATATAGTTAAGATTTTTTGCATTTCATTATTAAAACTTTAATTAAATACTATACATATGTAAGTAATTTGCTAATATTATTATTAACAACTAGTTTCTGATACTTTATTTAAGTAAATCAAATAATAATAAAATTATCTATTGCTGATTTCTGTAATTAGACATATATTATTAATTTTTTTTTTGTGTTAAACTAGCTTCTTTTGGAGCTAGAGCTTTTATTCAGTATAGTTAGAATATAGGAACTTATGGCCAAGGCCTCAAAGAAGTCTTCTTATATTAGAGAGTACAACTAGTCACACATACACTTTTGGTGTCTAATTAAGTAGTCCACCAATAGTTCTATATTAGCTGTCATACCTGCAACTTAACTAGGAGTGTTGTCTATTTAAACCCTCTGTACTGCAATCTTACTGTATTATTAGATTATCTCCACTACATAAGTCAGTTAGAAAGGTCTAAATGCTTACTCATATCCTTAGGACCTCATACTTTATTTCATACAGTGTATCTTCAAAAGCATCATTACTAGAGCCTTCTATATCTTACACATAGTTAACATAGTTTTATATAACATGCTATAGTTACTTAATACTTGCAGTTAGAGCTAACCTTAAACTACTATATTATACTATTTTTATTCTTGTAAAGTTCATCCAGACCTTGTTACCTATCTTCTTGACATCTTCTTCATCATCTTCTACTAATTGCAACTCAGAACCATCAGTCTCATTCTAGACTATCAATCCAGATGGCCCAGTATGCTATACCTTAGTATTCTTTTCTTTTGGTGAATCTGAAGGCCTGGTTGGTCTGTGCTCCTCTATACATCTTGATGTCTGGTTTTAATTTTCAGTTTCTATAAAGATGTTTTATGGGCTTCCATTAGTCTAACAGCACTGTTGAAAGTTTGTGCTATCTCTTTTCTCAGGAATTTCTAAGTAGGATTCTGTCTCCTTGGTTTCTTAGTCTTTTATGCCTGGTGGTCTTATTATAGGTTTGCACCAAAGTCTTATGCAATACTGGTTATTAACATTTCTCTATGTATGTGTAATGTTACACTTCACATAGATGCTCTGAGCTCTCAATGTTGGTAGGACCTAACTTGGTATACCTGGGTTATAGCTGCATGAGGCCAACTGATCAACAGAAGACAGTTTTCATAACACAGATATAATTTCTAAATTTTGTTATAAATGAGATTTGAACCTTAGACCTGCCATTTGAAGAATGACAACCAAACCACTACACTAGGATCATTATCTTTCATTGGACATACATTATAATACTTCTTTTTTATCTTATATATAAATAAATAATAAATCATTCTATTAGTACTTATTTTATTCTTTACTAATTTTATTATTTTTTATCTATTAGTAGTTTCGACAGTTTTAACAGTTTCACCAGGTTTAACAGTTTTACCAGTTTCATCATTTCACTATTTACAATTTTTTTTGATACAAGTTAAAACTAGTTTCAACTTTCACCTTTTGTAAAACCTCTAAGTTTCATTTAACAACACTAAATCAAACTAATATTAATACTATTCAATAACAATTTAAAGATGTAAAGACTTAATGCCATAATAACAACTTTAAAAATATAAAGACAAATTAATTTAATAAAAATAAAATAGCTAAATTAAAATACTTTCATATTTGATAAAATATAAACATGTTCTGACTTGGTTTTTTTTTAAACACATGCTATAAATAAATAAAAAGAGCACAAGTTGTTATATAAGATCATGCAATAATTTTATTTAATAATTATTATAATAGTTACAGTATTATTACATTTTAACTCCTTACGAAGTTTATAAACCTTATGACTTTGAACTTTATATTTCTATATTATAGTCAAGTTTCTATATTAGTTGGAATTGCAAAGAGTACATTTTTACAAAATATGTAAAAGTCAGTTAGTTTATTGATTTATTGTACCTTAAGTTAAACATTCAACATACCTCCCATCTAACTTCACTTCATGAATTACCAAATTACTATTCTGCAAATTTTGCAAATTAAGTGAATTCAGCAAATATATTGCAGAATTTGTGGAATTTCTGAATTGCAGACCTGAGATTGAATATACAATAGCTTTGAACAATTAACATACCATATAGCATAATCTAAAATGCCCAGTTGACATAATTTTTTGCATAATAAACAATTATTAGGCACATACATTATATATCATATATATATAAATAGTGGTTCAAAAATTGCTTTATGCTATTTGTTATGCTGATCATGCTATACAGTAATTTATGCAAACTTTTAAAGTCAAAGTAATTTTTATGCATTAATTATGTAATAAAAATATATAATTGTATATAGCCAAATTAAAAAATACAATTCAAGTTGGCTAAAAATTTAATCCTTTTCTCAATAATCAATAGAATAAAGAAACACATATCTGTAAGATTGATAATAAAGATAATAGTACTGAACAAAGTTAAAAAAAGAAGGAATTTAATTAAAATTATTTAATTTATATTAGATTTGAAATGATTAAAACACAAAGATATAACAAAAGACATGTTAGTAAGAGATAAATTTTTCTTAGTCATTAAAATCCTTTTATTATATTATTTATCATTTTATTTATAATGATTAGCTTCTAAACCTCTTCTAAGAAATATTAAAAAAAATAATAATTTATTTAAAGATAATTCACAAGTTACGAATGTTGAAATTACAGAAAATAAAAGAAAAAAATATTTTGAATTATACTAACATAAAGAAAAAAAAAGAAAATAAAGAACCTTGTTTGATGAATAGTAACAATAGTATATAGTCTTATTATTGTTATTTATGATATTCAGAGAATATTAAATTTGTATAATAATTTAGATATAACTCAAGTTGTGAGTAGCTCACATTCACATTCTTATATATCTAAAAATATCCAACCACAAAGTGAAAAAGCATCAAATGTATTAACATCTTCAATTAGAAGCCCCTTACCCAAAAATTTTTATGACCAATGCTCTCTAATATTTAAAATTAGCTAGTCTCTCTTAGTTGAAAGGCATTTACCTGAGAGTGTTTATAGCCAACTATTCTTAACACTCAACATTACTTTTTTTTCTTTAACTAGAAACTATTTATTTAAAAATACTGTTAATCAATAGTCATCAGCATTAATTACATCAAACACAATTAATGTCTTTTCATCTTTCTTAATCAGTCTATTTAAAAGTAACCTTAAAGTCTGTTTGTATTTAGTGCAACATCTAGCTTTTATCAATTTAGCACTAAGCATGATAAATGCAAATAGCCAAGAATCTGTAATTATATAGAGAAAATTTGATAAGTTTAGTATGCTTTCAAAAAGAGTAAGTTTTGATTAAGGTTCTGCAAATAGTAGCAATTCCAAAACCCAATTTTGATATGATTGTCATAAAGCTAAAACATGCAAATTTTATAATATTTGTATATTTTAGCTTTGCAGCAATCATATACTATTTGATTAATGTTGATAATACAGTTATTTACTTCTTTTTAAATAGGATCTTAGAATGCTCCAAATGCACTTGAAATGTTTTTTTTTTTATACTTGAGTGATAAACAAGCAAATTATTGATGTGCTAATAAGATTCTTGTTTTCAGATATTTAACATGCTAGTGCATTAGAACATACTGCATTGCAGAGATGGGTTTTTGAATATTATCAAGATTATAATGCAGCATTAAGATATGAACTTCAAAAGTTGGTCTCAGAATTTATCAGAAAGTATAAGTAAGATTATTATAAATTTCTTGCCAATATTAAAAAAAATTAACAAATTAATAAAATTATAGATTAACTAAGGTAAAACAGCCAACAATACAACAGATTTCTGAATATATTACAAAAAAAACTTGAGTGGCTTTCTTGAAATGTCTTATAGATGTTACAGATGTACAAAGAACATTCAGAGATTGGTCTAAAAATATTGAAAAATTTACTAATTTTATATGAACATTATTTAATCTTTTTGTTCAAAAAATTCTTTTAGACAAAGATGTAATTGATAATGTCAAAAATTTAAATTATATAATAGTTGATATAAAAATATTTATAGCTAATAGAAAAGACTTTTTCAACAATTGGATCTTAGATTGCTTTTTAAGCTAAACTAGTACTTATTAATACTATTTGCAGATAACATTACTAATAGTAATGTAAATAATAAATAAATGCTTAATATGATGTAATTGCTCTAAGTTGAAATAGCAATTGATTGATATAACATTAACAATATTGCAAAATGCTTAACATGATATATAATTAATAAAAAAAAATTATTTATCATAGTATTTAAAAAAATACATACATATCATTATTTATCATTTTAGTAATTTTTAATTAAACATTTTCTTATTTGAAGTAGATTTACACTATGCATAAAATGCAGGGTAATCTTCTGTTAAGAAAATTTTCTTATATCAAGAAATCTCAAACTGTTGGCCAAAAAGATATAGGTCATATTATATCAAAATTTCTCTATATATCTAACATTAATAATTATGTTTTATAAGTAAAATTTCATTTTAAAAACTTTTACTTAGAGGTCAAAAGTTAGTCATCATAGTAAATTTTTGTGTTATTTACATTTTTTTTACATTTTTTTATATTTTTCACATTTGGTTTGTTACACAAAATCCTGTTCTTTAGCTTTCTTGATATAAGAGTACTTCTGTCAAGAACTTCATTAAAGAACAAAAATGTTCAACTTATTGATAATATTTATCTTATTTGTACATATATAAAAAAAAATTATATGAAAAAAATTAATTCGCAGTTGTATATTATATATATATATTTGAATTTGACTCGTATACTGATGACTAGTCTAATATTTCAATATAAATAGAAAGATCCAAATTATATGCAAATAAAAAATATATACTATGTTGACTGAGAATTGGCTAGTAAATTTTGTAAATTTAAAAATATATTATCAAGTTTATAAAATTAGATTTAGAATTAATTAAATTTAAACACTGCTATAAAAATCTATATAAGTGGATCTTCATTAAACTTTATGTTTTTTTTTGTTTTTTTCTTTTTTCTTGAATATTATCAGTCAAAAATTGAACATTATAATAATCATAATAAAATGAAAAGAGTTTAAACTAATAAAGTGACTCAAAAAGTTGCATTATAAAAACATATCACTTATAATATTTCTAAAACCTTACAAAAAGAAAAATGTTCACAAAATACTGTTAGCCAAGCTTCACAAGTTTCAATAAATGGAGAAGATAGTAATAAAAGTTTACAAAAAAAATTTTCTAATAGCAAAAGTTTGCTCTCTGATAAAAGTCAACATATTAATGATCTTAAATACAATTCTTCTATAGCTTCAGATACGTCTAATAGCAGTGATCAGTTGTTAGTTACAAAAGAAATTGAATTACAAATAAAAAAATAAAAAAACTTCAACCAAATTATAGTAGATAGTAAAATCGATTTTCAGCTACTATCTGAAAAGTATGGCTCATATTTTAAAAATTTCACAAAAATGTCATTTTTACTTGGGTTACCTAGAATATGATAAGTAAGTATTAGTATAAAGACAAGTTTTGTTATTTTTTTATTTATTAATTATTGTTTTATTTATTTAATTCTTATTATATTAACTAATTATTGTTTATTTTGCTTAATTCTTATTCTATTAATTAATTTATTGTTTTATTTTGCTTAATTTTTATTAATATAATTAGCAACTAATGTATATAAAAACCTTATGTCTATTATCCAATATCCCAAGTTCCAACTTAAACATGTAATTAGAAACATCTGAAGGTTAAAGTTATTATGTCACAGACTTCCCTTACAGAAAATTAAGTGTCATCAAATTCTAATTCAAAATTTGAAGACATCATCAACATCAACATCTATTAAGAATGCTTATACAATTTCTGTAAGTGAACATATAAGGAGGGTTTTAAGTAATAAACTTTTGAGGTCTCAAATGTACTTTGGGCCTGGTGTTAAAGCAGAAACAAAAGAAGAGTTCTGGCATGATAACATCTGGAAACAATCACTTCTCATTAGCTTATCATTTATGTTAATAAACAATAGTACTATAAAAAAAATACATATATATACTTGCAAGCAAAATTTTAATTGTTATATAATTAGTTTGTTTACCAAAATTATTTTCAACTTATTATTTTATTCAAACATTTTATGATCTTTATTAAATAAATAATATTTATTTTATTTTATTTTATTTATTTATTAATTTATTTTTATTTTATTTATTTATTAATTTATTTTTATTTTATTTATTTATTTATTTTTAGTGTTTGGCTTGTCAACAAGCATAATTTAAATGATAATAGTTTAACTGGTATCTAATAATTATAACTAATAAATATAAATTATATTTAGAATTATATAAAACAAAATCATTTATAAAATACAAAGACAATAAAATAAGAATAGGAAGAATTATAACGATAGTCTCAACTTCCAGTAGAATCAATTTGAAAGTTCAATTTCTTTATTTTGGTTCTAAACTCTTAAAAAATTTTTTAAACTCAGCAAAAGCAGAAGGGTCACAAAATAGAGAATTATAGTTAAGCAAAGTGACCTATTTAATTAATCCATCTACTGTTATTAAGCCAGTTATAGTTTAGCTTCAAGATATATCTGAGCCATCTGATTATTAATTTTGTGTAAAAGAGATTTTATATAGCCATAAAGGTCAGTAGAAAATAAGTAATTGTAAACTTTAGCACCATCATCCAATTGAATATACCCAAATTCTAGCATTAGCATTCAATAATGTCCTGCATTAAAGATAATGCTAGACATTTACCATGATGATTTTAGCACATTCTGCAATATGTATCATTTGTTGAGCACAATTTATCTTCAATTTTGTAACATGCTCTTATATCTAATAAAAAAATTTAAAAACTACTTTGTTTTAGGCTTTGTTTTATTCAGAGGTAAATTTGATGATATAATAAAACCAATTGTAAATAAATTAAAATTTTAGAAAAAGGTATTTTAATAAATATTTTAGATTGCAACATATGGATAATTACTGCTTTAGGTGTTGTAATCTTCAACCTTCCTTAGGGCAATGATCTTGCAAAACAAAACATCATATTGGTAATCTAGAGTGTAGGAGTTGTTTAGTGCTTAAGGAACAATTAAGTGATCTTAGTTTTGATGTTAAGCTTAATTTTCATTATCATCATATTACAGATAAGAAAATAAGTAAATTAGAAACTTGATCAAAAAGAGGACATCACAAAAAATAATTAGTGACTATTGTATAAAACATGGTCTAAGTACATGTTCTAGTATTCTGAATCATCTGACATGAAACTGTCATTTACAAACATCCCAAGATGCATATCATGCTGTAAGTAGAAAAGTACAAAGATTAATAGATTGTACTTTTTTAATGTTAAATTCAAGAGAGCAAAGTATATTTTTAAATTATTGAAAAAGCTTTAAAACATCTTCCAGTTGGAGTCATATTTCCAATCCAATAAAACATTTTAATAGTTTTATGTTCTCAGATTGTTTAAGATTAGTAATGATTATGCCATTTTTATTATGAGGGTTTTTAACAATATCACATATCAAAGATACTAATTTGGCTTTTTTACAAAGACAACTTACAACATCAATAAACAAGATACCATCATTTACACAAATTGTAAATGAAATCATTTTGTGCTAGGTGGTTGTTACCAAAATATTACATTTAAGTTTTAGCTTTACT